GGCAGGTGAATGAGTAGTTGCCGGGTTGCCGAGGGATTGGGTGATGTTAGGAACAGAATCAGTGCAGGGGCAGGATGAGATCGGGTTCGAAATCCGGGCGCGATTGGGGCGGAGTCGGAATCTGGGCGGGACCAGGAGGGGAAACAGACGGAGACGGGGCCTAAGTGGGGGGGCGGGGCCTGGAACGTAGCAGGATGGGATCTGATTGGGATTGCGTACGGGGATGGAGTGGTGACGGGGGATAGATCTGGCGCTGGTATGGACCTTTACCGGGGCGAGAATGAATTGGGATTGGGAAGGGATCAGGTCGGGGTCAGGATGGGGGGTGGTCGAGATGGAAAGTTAGTATTCGTAGGAATAATACTTAATAAAATTAGGAATGATGATAATAATAATAGGTAAGGATTATTCAATAATAATAATAGGTAAGGATTATTCGTAGGAATAGAATAAATAGGTAACGATAAAGTTGGTATTCTTAGGAATAATAATAAATAATGTTGCTAATAAGGAATAAAATTAATAGGTAACGATTAGACAAAAAGGGGGCAGGTGAATGAGTAGTTGCCGGGTTGCCGAGGGATTGGGTGATGTTAGGAACAGAATCAGTGCAGGGGCAGGATGAGATCGNAGACAAAAAGGGGGCAGGTGAATGAGTAGTTGCCGGGTTGCCGAGGGATTGGGTGATGTTAGGAACAGAATCAGTGCAGGGGCAGGATGAGATCGAGTTCGAAATCCGGGCGAGATTGGGGCAGAGTCGGAATCTGGGCGGGATCAGGAGGGGAAACAGACGGAGACGGGGCGGGAACGTGATTGGTAAGAGACGGAGAGCGGGCTGAACAGGGTCGGGGAGGGGTGTTGTGGGGTCGCAATGGGCCTCGGTGGGGTCGGGTGGGGTCGGGATGGGATCGGAGTGTGGTCAAGGTGAGAGTGAGATGGGGTCGGGGTCTGTACGGAAATAGGATCGGGGCCAAGTGGGGCCAGGATGGGATTGGGGCAGGAGCGGGCGCGGGATGGGATCGAAGTGAGGCTGGGGCGGGACCAGGTCTGGGATCGGGGTGTATCTAGGCGGGGCTGGAAAGGGATTGGGATGGGAGCAGGTCAGAAAGAGATCTAGCTCCGGATCGTTGGTGTCCGTAGCTAGACTCGGCTTGTCTTGCGAAAGTCTTATGATGGTTCCCACGCGCTGCCCTTGGACCTTGCGTGGGTGTTGGCGCTGATGCCTCTTTCTCGGCTTTGTCTGTTGGCGATGAATGGTAAAGGAACGATCTTACATCTTGTCTGCTTCTCTCGACTTTCTCTTCTTGCCGTGGTGTGTTGCTCTCCTGCGTTGATCTCCTCCTTTGTCTTCTTCCCGGGCTGCTTCGTCCCTTGCGCTACTCCCTCCTTTTTCTCCCTTTCGTTCCTTGTCAGTATTTGGGAGGCAACCCCTTTACCCTATCACGCCTTCCTTGAGCGTGCTTCCTTCCTCTTACCCCTCGCTCGCTTCTCTTTCCTTTCTCATTGCTTTTCTCCTTTCCTTCTTCGGAGAAAGTTGCTCGTTTTCCTTCCCCTTTTCTTCGACTCAGTTGTCTTTTTCTCAACTTAGATACTCTGCACATCTCCTCTTTCGCTCCTTACTCATCATCACTTTACCCTTCCTCTCCTCGTCTTTGCCCTTGTTTCCTGTCTCTTGTCTCTTGCTGTAAAAAGCCACGCCCGAAGGCGTGGCGAGGAGCCGCGTTGTCTTGCCTTCGGATTCCTGCCTTTCGTGTTCCTGTTCGAAAGGCTGAAGTTGCACGCGTGAAAACGTGCGCGGGGCGAAGTTTCCCGCCGGTTGAAGGTCGTTCGCGGGCGTGCGTTCTCGGCAGTTCAGCGCTGAGAATTAGCGCTTACCGGGCGGCGCTAGCGCTCCCCTTGCTTGAGGAATGTCCCTTCATCTTCCTTCTTCATTTGCAATCCGTCGTGATTTACACATGGCATGATTTGTCTCCTATAACCCTATGTAATAAGATTCATGCTAAGCTTTAAAAAAACACAGAAAAAGAAACAATCATGGAGAACCCCCTTTCTAACGAGGAAAACTGTGGTGATAGATGTAGAGAGGTGAATCAAACTGCAACTGCAGTACCCAGCCCATTCAGCCGCACACATGAAATTGCTAATATTCCGGTCACGAGTTCAAATCCTGATGTAGATGCACACTTTAACTTTAGGGGATTGTGCAATGAGCCTCAAAGCTCACCACACAATGGAGTGCTCACACCAGCATACATGTCACACAGATTGTCTTGTCACACATTTGCACAAAGAGAAGATGAGTAATAGACCAGAAAACGCAGCTCAATTGTCTCAACGAAATGTACCACAACCAGATTATAGAGAGAGATTCAAGAGTTCAACTGTCCAGTGCTTCACAGGATTACAAGCCTGCTTCGATCATCAAGAGTCTCAGCATCTGCGCTCATCAGCGCTTGTCACCAACACCAAGTTCAACACTCTTCAGGTAAGTATCCACCATAGCTTACTCTCTCTCCCTCTTTCCTCTTTCTTACTTGATGGATCCGGTCTTCTCTCTTTACAGTCTTCCTCTTCTCTCACTTGTGCACTCCCTACTACTAACACACACATGAGGATCAACTCTGAATACCACTCACTGTGCTACTACTACTAACTACCACTATATTGCCTCCTAGTGCTAGTGCAGCCATGGCTGCCTTCTACCCTGCCAACGTCTACTTCCTCTCTCTCATCTCTACTCGGTGCTGCTCTCTGGCATAGCGCAGCTCCCACACTAGCGCACAAGTGCACAAGCACCTCCACGCTCTCGTGCGAATGAGCCTCTGCCCGAATGGAAATTCGGGAAATGTAGTCTTGAAATGCACTTCAACTTGTGCCAGCCTCTGCTTCTGGAGGCCTGACTGGTTCCGGTAGCATATTCTCACGGCCTGTCTGCTTCTGAATGTCAAGGCGTGGAACCTTCCTGAATTTCCATGGGTCTGCTGCTGCTTGGGCCTTTGGGTCATGACTTTTCATCTGTGATCATGACTTTTGACTGTGGACTGTGACTCCTGCCCCTGGGACACAACCCTTACCTGTAGAGCTGCTGTTACATGTTGCGCCTGCACAGGAGGGCCATTTTCCAGGCCCTGCGTCATTCAGGCTGGAAGCCTGGATTTCGGGCTCAAGGCCTGGAAATAAGGGTCTGCAGACCCCATGACGGTTCACCCCAAAAGCCTGACATCCAGGGCCCACAGGCCCTGCATCGTTTCAGCCAAAAAAGGCCTGAGCCTTTTCAGC